CTCCCCCTCTCCCTCCTTCCTTCCTTCCTTCTGTCCTCCTCTGTTTTTTGTGTTAGGTAGTTTCCATTGCTGTGTCCTCATGCTCATTAATCTTCTGAAGTACCTAATCTCATTTTCATCCTACCTCAGACATTATATTTCAGAAGTTTCCTTTGGGTCTCTTCCTGTCTTTCATGTGTACCCCTTAATGTGCTTATTTCTGCCATTCCCTATTTTGGGGTACATCTGTGGGATATTTCTAATAGCTGCTTTAATGTTCTTGTTCATTCTGTCATCTGTAGCATTTATGGCCTGCTCCTGTTGATTGATTCCCACCCAGCTGTCACTGCCACTGTGATTGTAAGTGATTATTCTGGAGAAATTTAACAGAATCTTTACGGTATCCTCTGCTCATTATTTCCTCTTACAAGAAGTTAGGTCTAGATGTTGGCCTAGAGTTAGGTTAACCTTTCTTTCTGTGTTTTGTATTCTGTTTTTATTCTGTTGAAGGAACGTACCAGGGCTGAGGGGTGTAGGTCAGTGAGAGTGTTTGCCTAGAATGCATGTGTCCCTGGACTTGCTCCTCAGTGCTACAAAAAAAAAAAAAAAAAAAGGAGAGAGAAATCTACCTTTCTGAGATAATAAAGGCAGTCTGTATTCTAAAAATTATAAAGCTTTATATTTGTACATTTAAATCTTTAATCCATATTGACTGACACATATATCTGGTATAACAAAGGGATCCAAATTGACTTTCTAGGCATTGTTTAAATGCACATAACCAGTTGTCTAAAGCCCATTATTGAAGGCTTAGTCCTTTCTCTATTGATCTACAGTTCCCTTTGTTGCATGTGTTTCTGTATGTGTGTGGGTTTAGTGCGTGTGCTTTCTATTCTGTTGGTTTATTGTCTGTCTGAAAGCCAACACCACACACAGATTTTCATGACTTTAGAGGAAGTCTTGGTCAGTAAACAAGATCCTCCACCTGTTCTGTTGCTAGGATTGACTTGGCAAAGAAGCCATTTTGGAACCAACTTTTCATCTCCCAAAGAATTTTCTTTGGATTTTAATTGCATTAGTATTGAAAAATCACTTTGAAAAAGAAAAAAATTGCATAATATAGAACCTTACTATTCATTAAGATAGAATATTTTTCTATTCTGATTTTTCTAATAAAGCTTTGAATAATTTTGGTTGGATTCATTTTTAGTTTCTATTCTGTTGTCAGTGGTGTCTTTTAAAATATAACTACTAACCTCAGAAATTACATTTTTTGATTACTACTGTTAAATTCAACCATTTTGCTAAGTTGTGTGGTATGTGTGTGTGGTGTGTGTGTGTGTGTGTGTGTGTGTGTGTGTGTGTGTGACTGGTAATTGAACTCAAGAACCTTGTGCTTGTGAGGTAAGTACTCTAACACTGAGCCACACCCCCAAGTCCTTCTCCCTTGTTTATTGTGAGACAGGGTCTGCAGTCTGAGGTACCTGGCTGGCCTTCAATTCATGATCCTACCATAGCATCTTGAGTAGCTGGGATTATAGGCTTGTACCACTGTGCCCAGCCATTTTGCTAATTTGTATATTTGAGATTTTTCTGTAGGGTTTCGGGTGTTTTATGCGGTCAGTACTATCTAGAAATACTGATAGTCTTTCTTTTTTTCTTTCTTAAATTTTTTTAATTAAAAATATGTATGTACATGTTATAGTGCTTGCTAGCTGAAATTTCTAGCAGTGTTCAATAGTAATTTCTGGTGATTTTAGCTGGTTATAATCTCTAGCATAGTGAGAAAACTGTCATGTAATCTGGTTTTGATGTCTAGGTTATACAATAAATTAGGGAATACCTCCCTACCCCAGAAAATAAAAAATAAATTATCTGTTCTTTGCAAGTTGGATAGATCTTGCCTATAAAATTGGCTGGACGTTGTATTTCTTTTTGTGAGAAGAATTCTTAAATATTGATTAGGTTTCAGTGATTATAAAATTATTAGCCTTTTTATTTTTTAGTCATTTTGGTTATTCTATTTTTCTGGGAATTTGTCATTTTTATTGTGGTTTTTAATTTATTAACAAGAGTTGCTCATATAGTTCAGTAGATTTTTACTGTCTCTCACGTTACGTTTTTATGTTTTACTATGCCTTATAAACATAACCAGATTTGTTTTTATTTTTATTTATTTATTTATTTTTGGTACTGGGAATTGAACTCAGGACCTTGCACTTGCCATATCCCTGGCCCACTAGATTAGTTTTTAAACTTTACTGATGAGCTTAGTTCATTTTAATGATTATTGAAGTACTTGAATTTATTTCTTCTCCTTATTTTGTGTTCTTTCTGTGGTCCCCATTTTCTTTTGGATTAATTTAAAAAGTGTTTAAATTTTACCCATTTTTTCCTTTTTTTTTTTTTTTTTTTACCCATTTTTTTCGTTTTGAGGAATTTTCTTTGAATTTTAGTATCTACACTTAAAGTGTTGTGCTAATATTTTCATTTTTCTATCTCTTTCAATTTTTGTGCTGGAATCACCCAACATTTTAGTCCTAGCTTGTGATTTTTAATCTTAAAATTAGATTCTGTGGATATTACTTTTCTTTTTTGATATTACTATTTTTATAAACTGTGTAGACTTATTCACTATTCTTGCGTCTGAAGCCTCTTGCCTAGGATAATTTTCCTTTGTCCTGAAGTATGCTGTTTGATGTACCTTTTGTGACAGTCTGCTGATGGTAAACACTTATGGTAGTTTTTGTGTATCAATAATGTTTTTAATCATGTTCTTTAAAGTTGATTTTCTGTATGCACATTTCCAATCTGACAGTTATTTTTTTTTTGTCAGTACTTTGTATCCTTCTCCTGTCTTGACTTTTTTTTTATTGTAGAGAAATCTGTTCTCATTCTAAATGTCTTTTGGATGTAATTGACTTTTTGTTGCTGCTTTTTTGTTAATTAAAATTTTAATTTTGAACATAATTGTAGATTCACATACAGTTTTAAGAAAAAATACAGAGAGATCCCAGGCACCCTTTACCAAGTTTCTCTCAGGGTGTGGTTGCGGACTCTCGGACGGTGTATAACTAGGGGCATTGACATGGTCAAGGTGCCAAACATTCCCGTCTCCACGGGGACCCCTCATGTTGCCCTTTTGTAACCACAGCTTTCCCTGCCTTTTTGCTTTCCTCACCACCCCTGGCAACCACTTAGTTGTTTTCCAGTCCAATAAGTTTGTCATTTGAAGAATTTTATATAAATGGAATTATATGTATAGTCTTGGGATTGCCCCACACCCTGCTCTCAGCTAAATTCCATGCAGATTCTTCCAGATTGTTGCATGTGTTAACTTATTTTTATGGCTGAGCAGGATTGCTCTGTGGTGTGAATATACCACAGATTGTTTAGCCTTTCACCCACTGAGGGACATCTGGGTTGTTTACAGCTTGAGACTACAATAAACAAAGCTTCTGTTGGCTTTGAATGAACAACATCCTAATTTTTCTTGGATAACAGCCCAGAAGTACAGTTGCTAGATCACGTGGTAATTATATATTTCTTTTTTTCTTCTTCCTTTTTTCTCCATGTTCTCACCAGCATTTGGTGTGGTCACTGTATTTTATCTTAGCCGTTCTGTTAAGTATGTAATGTCATCTTATATAGGTTTTAATTTCCATTTCCTCAATTGCTAATGATCTTAA